TGTCGGGCTCCTGTGGGATGAGCAGCCATAAAGAACACCCAGGTGGGAAGCACAATGCCAGCAGCTAATCAAAGTGCCCAGGCAGATTCCTGTCAGGAATGCAGGTGTGTGTTCCGCTCAGTGGGAAAAGCCACACGGAAGCCCATGAGCTCAGCTTCCCAGGGGAGCAAACAAAAAGGAACCATGAGGAGGCGAGGCCAGGGTGGGGACAAAGCCCACACTGGGTCACCTGGAGCCTCGAGCCACCAACGCCTGACCCTGGGTGAGGAGCTCCCAGTGAGGAACTGGTTTGGGAACACGCCCCAGCCTGAGAAGCTGCTTCCTTCCGTAAGTGCTGTGTGGCTTTCTTAAGCCCCAGCCGCACAACCCTGCAGCTTGGGAAGGCCACGGCCATAAAGGCTGACAAGGAATTGATTCCTCCTGAAAAATGGGAGCTCCCAGGGACAGGGTTAATGGTGCTGGAGCAGCCTCTCGCCCTCGGCTCCACACATCCCGGGTTTAATGACCTCCTTCCCCCACCCCCAGAGGCTGGGAGCCCAGGGGTGAACAGCGACCTCCAATGCCAGAGATGTTCTCCATGAGGATACCCAGAGGCAGAGGGATAACGCTGGGACGTGGGGAAACAGGAAAACAGGTCAAATCCCACCCCAACCCCCAGGAAGATTGAGGCTTATTTCACAGGGATGGAGGATGAACCTCCCCTGCTCTCACCCGCACTGAGCAGAGAGGTCTCCATGCCAACAGCATCCAGCTCTTCCAGCTGGACAATTCCCTTCCACCAGCACACGCTCAGCAGCCAGGGGAGGGAAGGGGAACCCTGGGATGGGTTTGTTCAGGAAGCACACAGGGTGCCAGATCCACCTCGGATTGACTGATCCCTTCTACTGCATTCCCCAAACATCTTCAATTCATCCCGTTTGCTACAGAACAAACTGAGGGGAGGGATCCCATCCACCTCCAAGCAGAGCCCCCCCAGCTCCATTCCCACCCCAGGGCTGAGCTCCGGCTGCTGTGAGGACCAGAGGGGAGTTACGCTCAGAGCTGGGGGATGGTTTTACTCCTGAAAAATCAGTGGTTTTGGGAGCAAATCCATCCCCTGCAAAGCTCATCTCAGCCGTACCTCAAAGAGCTATTTCCTACCAGGAGCTCTTAGCCCTTCTGAGAGCTCATTCCCTCCATGCTCACACAGTGGGAGATGCCCCAAACCTGCTGCAATGGGGTCTCTGCCTGGCCAGAGATGGGGAGAACAACTGGGGAGCTCATAGCTCCAGCAGGAGCCGCAGGCACAATGGAAGGGAAGGAACCAGTGCTGGGATAGGAAATGGAGAACCTCAAGCAGCACCTCTGGGTGCTCTGGAGGTGCAGAGTGTCCTAGACTTACCTTCTTGGAGAGTGAGGAGACATTCAACCCAAACCTCTGAGCCCTTTCCTTTAACTTATCCATATTCACCTGCAAAGACACAGGAAACAACTCACCTTTCTCTTTTAAAACCACCAGCACTCAGGTTCGAGGGGGGGAGCTTCCTGTGCCAACCCTTATCCTTAAGGAACACTGGCTTCCAGGGATGAGCCCTCCCCAGCCTGTGGTGCTCATGATGCTGCTCTGCAAGATCTCCAGCACTGGCACCATGATGCCACATCCTGGCTTAACCATGTGCCCTCATGTGCAGCCGAGGAGCATGGAAATGGGACAGGGACCCACCACACTCCCAGGGGATGGGGACCCCTCTTTCAACACATGCCAAGGGCCTGACCACCAGCAACTCATGGACAAGAACATTCCTTACCGTGGGCTTGCTGTCTGCAGAGAGGCCTGAAGAGACAAGGAAAGGGAAAACCCAGTTAGAAAACAAACACCAGGAGCAGGATCTTACCTACGAGGAGGCACAGGAAAGTCCCATCATGGACTCAGGAACTGCTTTTCCCACCTTCTCTCTCTGTTCCCAACTCAATGACTCTCCCAGTTTCTATTTCAGCTTCTCCACTCACCATCTGCCACCGTCCCACCTCTCTAAAACACCGCTGGCAACAGGACCTGGTGACTTATGGAGCCAAAGGAAGCTGCTCGAGGACTCCACGGGGAGACCTCGTGTCCTCCAGCTGGGCTTGGAATGGGGAGACACTGGGAAAAGTGTCTGAACTACCAAGGGAACAACGTGTGGCCTTCACTTCCTGATCCCACACTGCCTGCTCGGAGCTCCTGGGCATGGGCAGGAAAACGGAGTGTTTAAACCCAGGGTGATGCCACCAGCACTGCTCTGCCCCCCAGGAACAACAACTGCACAAGGGCACTCCAGGGACTGGTTCTGCTTCACCCCCTCACCTTTAGTGGACACCGTGGCCAAACCAAACCTGCCAAAGGCAAACAAGAGCTGTCAGAGCAGGGTCAGCACCGGAGCCCTCATTGCAAGTGCTTCCCAGGAAGAAAACTGAGCTGGGGGCAAAGTTAACTGGGACCCACCATTCTTGGCTGCTGACAGCACTGCAGCGATCCCAGCTTCCCTCCACCCCCCCCCCCCCAGCAGTCGGATCACTGGCACATCCCCACTTTCCTGCTGGAGTCCCACCACCCCCTGGCCACTGGTGGCTGGCGGGTCTGGGAGCACCCACCGTGCTGCCCGTGCTGCCTTCTTGCTCTCCAGGCTGACGGGCACATTGAAGCGCTCAGCTCTCTTCTGCATGCGCTGCAGGGAGAGAAAGGAACTGCCTGAGGAGGAGCCACCATGGGCAGGGGACAGGGAGGAGGTTCTGCAGGTGGAGGAGGCAGAGTCAACACCCCACTGGGTCCTGCTGGACCAGCAGTGCAGGGGCTGCAATGGGGAAACCCTCTCCTGCACCCCTGGGTGATGGGAGAGATGCTGCAGGGACGTTCTGCCCCCCAGAAGCCAGCCCAGGGCCAGAGGCTTGACCAAAAGCAGCTCTGATGAACATCAGCCTAATAACAACTGAGGGCAAAGAGGGTTTCTTTTCTTTACTTTTCTTCCCCCTGAAAGGCCAAAGAAATATGCTAGGAAAGGGGATGGGGGTGTTGATTGGCCTGGCCTCGAGAACACAGTTTGGCATTAGTACTGCAATTACAGGTGAATTTTGGCTCTGGAGAAAGGCCCAGGCAAGGGTGAGCAGGGAAGAGCTTGGGAGCTTTGGAAGCTCAAGGGTTTGCACCTGAGAGTGTTAAATCCCCTTAAAGGCTTAAGGGAAATAGTTCACATTTCATTCCAAGCCAAGGGCCCAGCAGCATGTTTGGGGTTAGAGAAACAGAGCTTAGTTAATGGAAACATTGACTTTAGCCATGAGCCCAGCGAGGAGCAGGACAAACATCCCCACTGGAATGGCAGTGCTTGGAAAAGATGGAGCAGGAACAGAGCTCCCACCTGGCAGCACCAGCCGGGACAGGAAAACATAGCACCCAGCTCCCAGTTTCCTTATTCTTTGGGGCGCTGTGAAGAATATGCCTGAGGAATACCTGAAGAGGCAGCAAAGGCTGTGATCATGGATCACAGAATCATGAAATGGCTTGGGTTGGGAAAGGACCTTAAAGCTCCTTCAGTTCCAACCCCTGCCACGGGCAGGGACACCTTCCACTAGAGCACGTTGCTCCACGGCCCTGTGTCCAACCTGGCCTTGAACACTGCCAGGGATGGGAACACTCCCCCCGGGATGGGGAACCATCCCCAGCACCCCTTTGCCAAGCCATGGGGCCAATCCACACTCAGCAGCAAACCCAAGCAGTCAGAGCAGCTCGGGCAGGGTTGGAGCACACCCAAGAGCCCAAAATGTGAGCTCCTGCCCTGAGGGCAGCGCCATGGGGCCATGGAGCCTCCAACCACCCGCCCCCGGCCTG